ACTATTTGCCATAGAAAGAATTAAAATTCATGATTATATAGTTGCCATTGGATCACTTGTCCTTCCAAAAAACATAGTTTTTGCCTCGAAAATTGCAAAACAACTACATTTGCATTTATTTATCTTCTAAAAGAATTGTAGACCAACTCATTGATTTACATAAATACGTTAAAATTAGCAACGTGCAAGTAGAAGTCCGTAGATTAATAACTCCAGCCCTTAAGATTAGTCATCTCGAATGTTTGTTCAACAATTCCAAATGAAGTTATAGAAGAATAACTCAAGAAAATGGGAATTATAGCCATATCAAAAATGACATTTCATCGAGTGGGTATGTCTGAGACAGAATATAATAATGTTCTGAGTTTTCGGCATCAAATCTACATCAATCCATTAGAAAACTTATCCATCTATCTATCTAATTAGCCTTCTTCGGTCCATCTTTGGACATAGGCCTCCCCAATCCTTTTCCATTCTTCTCTGTCTGTCGCAACAGTCATCCATCTAGAGCCCACGTGCTTCTTGATATCATCTGCCCATCTCATTTGGGGCCTTCCTCTGCTTCGTTTATATTCCCACGGTCTCCAACTTGTAAGAATTTTGTTCCATCGGTCTTCTTTTTGTCTTATATTGTGTCCGGCAAATCTCCATTTCAATTTTGCAACTTCTTGTCTAACATCCCTCACTTTTGTTTTCTCTCTTATCCACTCGTTTCTCTTCTTATCCATTAGTCTTATGTGCAACATTTGTGTTTCCATTGCTCTTTGGGTTTTTATGATTTTGTCCATGTTTGCTTCTGTAAATGTCCACGTTTGGGAGCCATACGTAAGAACAGGGAGTACGCATTGATTATATACTTTATATATATATATATATATATATATATATATATATATATATATATATATATATATATATATATATATATATATAATATATTATATTATATACCAAAGTATATAATCAAAGTGTATAAACTTATCCATAACAGACTCTTTTAACATTTCTTTTGATTCCACAACATATCGAATATACCTTTCTATATATGAATTTAATTGTTTTAAATGTCGAACAATAGAACACTGAGAAGTTGATTGCATTCATAAAACGGATTCGCCCAGTAAACAAATGAAAACATAAGTGCCTGAAAATGCTAATTCAATTCTCTAAATCAATATACAGCTAACTGAAACCACCAATAAGACTCTTACTGAAGTAAACATCCCTATAACCCTCCAGCTCCTACCCTATTTATAACTAGCAACGATATCCCACCTTTAAATAAAGATAAGGACAAAAGACAATTATCAAATTCTCCAGATGTTTTAGATATTCACACATAACAAGATATCTGTTCCCAAAACATCTAAACAAAAAAAAAAGAGCCAAGTCGACTGAAAACACATTTGTTGTCCTCGACTCTATTAAAAACTTAATAAAATAAAAAAGTCCGCCCTTTCCTATAGGTTATTTAGAAATATGCCTATTTTAAAAAAATGCCACTAACTCTAAAAACCCTGAACTTATAGCAAAAGATTACATCAATGAAATATCCGAAATTATTAACATCCTCATTTTTATTTACTCAAAATCCCTCTTTAAAAAGAACAATTACAATTATTAAGAAAAAATTATCCTCAAATTATTATTCATCTTGGTTAAATTTCATAACATTTAACCAGAACATTATCATTATAAAATTCCAATGCCGGACCTGTATATTCGAAAAATGCCGGTTCAGTTTTAAATCTATTTCATTTCTAAGAATCGGGGGCTTATTAGAAGGGTCTGGAGAATAGTCGACGCAACAGTTCTCAAAAATGTGGAGCGTCATAAGGCTATCTCCTTCGCACTCATATGGGATCATGCGCTCTGGGGTCGCTTGACGTCACTTGGGTTGCGTTAGCTATTAGCCGGATACTCATTTCGGCTCTTGGGTGCGTTAGCTATTGGCCGGATACTCATTGTCGGCTCCTTCAGCGTGGGCGCACCGGGAGCTCAGCAGTAGCGTTCCAATCTTAACACTGTACACATCTCCACTCGTAGTATTTTGTTGGTTTTTGTTTTTTTTTACGTACGAGTGGAATTAAACGTTCATAAACGGCTAACATGTGGTCGTATATCTTTTAAACATTTTTTCTTATATAACAAGTAATGGTTTCAACGTGTTTTTCATCAATGTTTTGTAAATAGCTGTATAAAGTGCTTCGTAAAAGACTTTTAAGTGCAAAAGTGAGGTTTAAGTGACAAGTTCTCATCTGTTTACGTGACCAAATGAACTTACATCAAGAATCGAACTATCTAACCTGCATTTTTTTGTAAAACTATTCCGAACTTAAACATTTTCAGTTTCTCTCAATAAAATCTAGTGAAAATTCAATTTAAAGGGTTTTCATTTATTTAAACTCAAAGAAGAAATACCTTTCCAAGGAAATATTAGAAGAGCAAAGGGGTTATTACCTCAAGGAAGAACCTGATAATATCACACATGTTACCTTACCCGCAATTTCTTGGCATACCAGCAACCTAGAAGGAAATATAGAACATCACATCAAATTAATGTGAGACAAACCCTCATATTTTATTCACATCTACAGAAGAATCTGACAACGACACAATTAGTCAGGATAAATAACATCTAATACATTTTTAATTCAATGGAACCTAAATGGATTCTACACCCACCTTGAGCAATTAAAACTTTTAATTAAAAAATTAAAACAATTTCTTCCCCATTGTAATTTGTGTGGAAAAATCTCACCTAAAAAACAATTCTGAAACACTTAGAAATTAGGTGCCATTTCTGAAAAACAAAAATGGAATGCATGCTAGTGGTGGAGTAGCTACTTTCATTCGAAATAACACTGAGGCAAAAATCATTCCACTTACTACAAACCTGGAAGCTATGGTTGTTTCAATTACCTACAGTAAAAACATCAATGTTTGCAATATATACTTACCGCATCCTAACCAAAACGACATAAACGAACTAACAGCACTCATAGAAAAATTACCCCATCCCAAAATAATTCTAGGCGATTTTAACTGCCATCACCCAGCATGTGGTAGCCAAAAAATCGATAAATGTGGCAACCTTCTACACAGTCTGATAAATAAATCAAATTTAATCTTATTAAACACTGGAAAGCCAACAAGATTGCATTCATATAACAGATCGTTCTCTGCAATTGACCTGACCCTGTGTAACCCATCACTAGCACACATGTTTCAATGGAACACAGTAAAAACTCTTCACGACAGTGACCACTTCCCCTTACTTATCTCAATTGAGATAAACCAACCTCTTAATTCGAATGTATATCAAAGATGGATAATAAAATCAGCAAAATGGGAACTTTTTCAAAAAGACTTGGAAGACGAGATAGAAAATTATGAGATAAAAAATGACATTCACAAAACCGTCACGGATTTTAACACCATTATCTTAAATTGTGCATCTACATTTGAAGTAAAAACTAAACCGTGTAAAAGGCAACTGGTACCTTGGTGGAATCAAGAAATCTCTCGGGCCTTGGCTGCTAGCAAGCACCTCCCAATTTAGATAATCATTGCACAACTAGTCTATCTAAATCCAATTAAAAGAAGTTTTTGTACCTTTTCTACACTTGCTAAATAATATTTTTTTAAAGTGTAGCTAAGCCAAGACAATTTTCCTAATCAAAGCTGATTTTTTCCCACTAAGTTAAGTCGATTGAATACGGAACGAGATTCCTGTTGGGCAATTGATTAGTTTGCCATTCCAGATTACATTCCCTATTTAACGAATGGGTCAGGATTTAATTTGTTGTAGCAAAACCTTTATCACTAGAATAACCTTTCGTGTGAATCAATTAGTTAAACATGTTCCATTTAACCAACAAGTTTAACTTCCATTAGATGTTTTATTATTTGGAGGAATAAAAGCAATTTTAAGTAAATATATTTATAATACTGTGTTTTATGTTAAGATCTAAAAGTGGCACTCATAGTCGGTCGTGAAAATTGCTCTTTGATGCACAACGTAAAGAGCAAACATGTAAAAGCTACTTTTAGCTAGACATATAATATAAAATATACAGGATGCCAGTTTAGCTTGTATAAGTATTTTAACTGTACAATTTTGATTTAAACATATATATTGATATTCACTAATCCTTTACATCGACTATTCAATTGTTCACTTTCCACCTAAATAATAATATTGTTTATTTGCACTACAGTAACTCTTCAATATTGCAAGAATTCAGCTGTAGGTCCCAATAACATCCCCTTTACTTGCCTCAAAGTAGTTGACTTACTTGTTGGTGTTTTGTTTATTAGTGTACTCTTCTTCGCGAGTATATTTAAAATCATCATTTCCATCGTGATATAGCTGAAAAACTATAATGCTGTCACTGATTTCTTCTTTATAACATCCAGGACTTTCACTCAGTTTGATGCAAGTAAATAAAACACTTTAGTACTTTAAAACTGTTTTCAACAAATCTTACAATAATACTAATAAAGCATCCAGGTTAGGTTATGAGAACTTATTTAAATGTTTGTAGATGGTATTTTGTGTACTGAGGAATTGGCGGTTCTTTTTTGCAAGCTACGACCTTGTTAACTCATAACACTTGTTCTTGCAGATAGAACCATGTGTACTTAGCTGACTGTTTTTATTTCAGTTAGAGCTCTGTTAACTGATCAACATTTAAAATTCTCTGAGATAGTACCCTGTAACATTAGTATTTCAGCCACCTGTTAATAGATGTCGGTGCTAGTATTATCAAATAGAACCATTTTACATAAAAATCTCAGTTTTGAAAAAAAAAAAATGGCAGATAGAACCTTTTTATTCTGACGCAACGATTTAAAAAATTAAATACCACAGGACCAGGGTAAAGATATTAATATACCTACTCCCACTTACTAATCATGCAAGGTTTCTGAAAAAAACTGATTAAAACCAAAATAAATTTGAAAAATTTTAAAACTATATACTTTTATTCATTTTACAGCCAGTCCTAGAAACTTGTCGTTTACTCTATCTGGGAACTCAAATAATAGAGTACCATCAATGGTGGGTAGTACAGGCACATCAAACTTCTGCCAATCTGACTATTTAATTATTCCCGTGGCTTCGAATGTTGGTAGAGCAACTGCGAATCCTACAGCTACCGTTGATCGAATATGTGGAGGAGTATTAGCGGCTGATATTAGCTCCACGCCAACTACAGTTAGAAGTAAGTAATACTGTATTTATTAATATGTTTTCTTAGGTTAGGAATACTACAATACACCATTGACCCATCAAGTCAAAAAACACCAACTCTAAAGACGTAAATGAAAATTGGAGAGAGGTTCAACAAGCTTTAAAAGAAGCGGGAGAGGAAATACGTGGACCAATACCAAAGAAAAGACATATGTGGATGACAGACGAAATACTAACTCTCATGAATGAAAGAAGAAAATATAAAAAACATAAACACTAGCAAATACAAATCCTTAAACAGCAGGATTAGAAAAGACATAATAACAGCAAAAGAAAGATGGCTAACTGAACAGTGTCACGAAATAGAAGAATATGAAAAGAAATATGATAGTTTCAATATGCATCGGAAAGTGAAGGAAATGACGTCATGAAAACAAAATAATATACATGTTATAAAAGACTCGAATGGTAACATTCTCACAGATACAAAACAACAACTAAACAGATGGACAGAATACATAAAAGAACTATTCGGGGATGACAGACAACAAATCATAGATGAGGACTCTGGTGAATCGGGACCAAAAATTTTAAAACAGGAAGTTCAATACGCATTTAAAACAGACAAAAGGGAAAAAGGCCACAGGTCCGGATGAAATCCCGATTGAGTTTCTTAAACTGATCGATGATGAAATGATAGACATTCTAGTAGAACTTTATGATCATATTTATCAAATAGGTATTTTACCAAAGGAGTGGTTAGTATCTTCTTCTTCTTTAGATGCAAATCTACTAATGGATGTTAGCGATCACATTTTCCATTAACTCTCTATTTCTTGCAATATGTATCAGAGATTGTATGTCGTTAATCCCTGTCCATTGCCTTATGTTTCGGAGCCAGGACATTTTCTTGCGTCCCATTCCTCTCTTGCCTTCAATTTTACCTTCGATTATAAGTTGGAGGAACTGGTATTTTTCATTTCGCATGATGTGACCTAGATACGCCGTTTTCCTTTTCTTGATGGTTTCGAAAAGTTGGCGTTCTTGGTTTATTCTTTTAAGGACATCTATATTTGTGATTTTCGCTGTCCATGGTATTTTTAGGATACGGCGATAAAGCCACATTTCGAAAGCTTCCAATCTGTTTATATCCCTCGTTTTGAGTGTCCAGCCCTCTACGCCATATAGCAGCACTGACCATACGTAGCACTTAGTAAACCTTAGTCTCAGTTGAAGATCGAACTCAGAACAAGTCAGTACCTTCTTGAATTTTACGAAAGCTTGTCGAGCTTGCTCAATGCGACATTTTACTTCCCTGTCCGATGCCCAGTCTTCAAAAAGCCACGATCCCAGGTATTTAAATTTACTCACTCTTTCTATGGATTTACTATTCAGTGTTATGGTGGAGTTTTCAAATGCATCCAAGTTTCTGGAGATGATTATGAATTTGGTCTTTTTGGTATTAATCTCTAGTCCCATTCGCTCACTGTATTCTCCGATTATAGTGACAAGTTGTTGAAGATCGACTATGTTGTCACAAATTAAGACACCATCATCAGCATATCTTATGTTGTTGATCAATACTCCATTCACCTTGATTCCCATCTCTGCATCCTCCAAAGACTCTTGAAATATGGCTTCTGAATAAATGTTAAATAAAAGAGGGGAAAGCACACATCCCTGTCGAACGCCTCTTCTTATATGTATGGGCTTAGATATAGAGTTGTCTATTTTTAGCTGTGCCGTTTGATGCCAGTACAAGTTTTCAATGCATCTTATGTCTTTTTGGTCTATATCAACTTTCTTTAGAATCTGCATTAACTTGTGGTGTTGGACACGATCAAACGCTTTTTTGTAATCTAAAAAGCATAGGAACACATCCTTCCTCTGATCGTAACAATTTTGGACCAGTACCTGTGTTGCTACTATTGCTTCTCGTGTTCCTAATCCTTGCCTAAACCCGAACTGTGAATCACTGATGTCCCATTCACATTTCTTGTATAATCTTTGATGTAGTATTTTTAAGAATATCTTTAAAGTGTGACTCATCAGGCTAATGAGTCTGTGATCCTCACATCTTTTTGCATTGACTTTCTTGGGCAGGGGAATAAAGGTAGAGCGTAACCACTGTTGAGGATAGCAGCCAGTTTCATAAATTAAATTAAATATTTTGTGTATTGCTGAAATTCCCCTTTCATCTAGTAATTTGAGTATTTCTGACGGGATCTCATCTGGTCCAGGTGCCTTATTGTTTTTTGAATTTAATATTGCTTTTTCTATCTCCTCTTTGGTGATTGAAGGGCCAGTCAGCTGGTCGTCTGTATAAACTTCACTCATGGGTCTTTCGTCATGGAAGAGCTCCTGGATATAATTTTCCCATATATCAATTTTCTCCTTTTCACTAAGCACTATCTGGTTATCCTGATTAACTATGGTAGTTGGTCATGTGGTTAGTATCCACATTCGTAATTATTCCCAAAAAGCAAAATGCAAAAGAATGCTCAGAACACCGTACAATTGCATTAATGAGCCATGTTTTGAAAGTATTTCTACGAATAGTCCACAACAGAATTTACAGAAAGCTGGATGATGAAATTAGTGATAGTCAGTTAGGCTTTAGAAACGGCACGGGAACCAGGGAAGCATTGTTCGGTATAAATGTGCTCATGCAAAGAAATCTGGATATGAACCAAGACATGTATACATGTTTGATTGATTTTGAAAAAGCATTTGACAAGGTACAGCACAATAAACTAATTAATATTTTAAAAATGAAAAACATCGATAGCCGCGACATCAGAATAATCTCGAACCTCTACTGGAACCAGAAAGTCAAAATAAGAATTGAAAATCAAATGTCGGAAGAAATAGAAATTCTTCGGGGTGTGAGACAGGGCTGTGTATTGTCACCACTGCTGTTTAATATATATAGCGAAGCCATTTTCCAAGAAGCTTTAGGAGAGTGTAACGATGGAATGATAATAAATGGTGAAATTATTAATAATATAAGATATGCCGATGATACTGTCATATTCACTTCAACTCTGCAAAGTCTAACAAACATACTGGAACGGCTGAATGAAAAGTGTACCATATATGGTATTAAAATGAACTTAAAGAAAACAAAATTCATGGTCATTACAAAACATCCAAAAGACAACGAGACACTCCATATTAATAATATCCAGATAGAAAGGGTAGATAAATACAAATATCTAGGAACATTGGTTAGTCAAAACGCAGAGCAAACGCAAGAGATTAAAAGCCGTATAGAAATAGCAAGGGCAAAATTTGTAAAAATGAAACATCTATTGTGTAGTACAGACCTAAGAATGGATCTAAGGATAAGATTATTGCGCTGCTACATTTTTACAACTTTGCTCTACGGATCTGAGGCATGGACATTGAAACAACTGGAGATTAAGAAATTGGAAGCTTTTGAGCGTTGGTGTTATCGAAGGATGCTACGAATAGCATGGGTAGACAAAATTACCAATATTGAAGTCCTTGATAGAGTTAATAAGAGGGAAGAAATTGTACAGACAATTAAGAGGCGGAAACTTGAATATTTCGGTCATATATTAAGAGGTCCTCGTTATGGGCTACTACGTTTGAATATAGAGGGCAAAATAAAAGGTAAAAGAGATGTAGGAAGAAGACGAACCTCCTGGCTACGAAATCTAAGGGAATGGTTTAGTCTGAGCTCTAGCCAACTATTTAGAGCTGCTGTAAGTAAAATAAGAATTGCCATGTTGATATCCAACCTTCGTTAGAAGATGGAACCTTAAGAAGAAGGAGACCTTACGAAAGTAAACGACCAAGAGAAAGACCACAGATGAGATGGGGTGATGACATTAAAAGAATAGCCGGAACAAATTGGAAATATGTTGCTCGGGATAGAAGCCGATGAAAGGAGTTGGGGAGGCCTATGTCCAAATATCCACAATAGAAGGCTAAGAAGAAAAAGAGATTTATTTGATATGTCTTTTCGGCCTGGAGCTTTTTGCTGTGTATTTTTTTTTCTTGGCAGTACAGTACAAGCACTTTATTTTTTTCTTTATTGTCGGTTTTAAAACTGGATTGATCCTGATCTGTATAACACCCTACATTTTGTGCTTTAGGCTAATGGAAAAACTTCAATTGAATTAAAGACCGTTTTTCTAAATGTGGTTTTATCACCTGTTTTGTTCTAATAAGGTGTTAGTATTACTCCTATAAATTATTTGGCCATTTACTATAGTCTAGTCATTATAGTATAGTTCATGAAATAAAGAAATCGGAAATTGGCAGCCATATGAAGACAAAAAACCACGAGGAAGATCGCAAATGCGATAGAGCGACGATATTAAAAGAACTGTAAGGCCAATGTGGAAATGTCTTACAAATAACAGATATGAATGGCGAGAATCAGGAGAGGCCTATATTCGGCAATCCGAATAGAGAAAGGGCTTAAAAAAATAGCTATGTTGAGAAGAATACAAAATAGAGTCTTCTTAACATGCCATACACCAAAGTGCGTAGACGACTATCTCATTACTAGAATTCTGGTCTTTGCGGCGTGACACAGCTCGCCTGTATTGTGTATTCCTGTCTATTCTTTAATATTCCCTAACCACGATAATTGTTTGCGGCCGGCTCCTCTCCTACCTTCGATCTTTCCTTGTAGGATTAACTGTGGTATTTCATATTTTGCTCCTCTTAATATGTGCCCAAGGTAACCAATCTTGCGTTTTTTAATTAACTCAAAGAGTTCTCTTTCCACACCGGCCCTCTTAAGGACGTCATCGTTTCGAATTCTATCCACCCAAGGTATGCGCATCATTCTTCTCAATGACCACATTTCAAATGCTTCAAGTTTATTGATAGATGTTTTTTTCAAAGTCCAGGTTTCCATGCCATAAAGCAAGATGGACCATATGTAGCATTTGACCATTCTGTAGCGTATTTAGAAATTTAGGTTTTGATTACATAGGAGCCGTCTGAATTTCACAAAAGCTTGTCTTGCCATTTGTATTCGGGTTTTTATCTCGT